TGTTCATTATAAAATTATTGTTTGAATTTTTTTGCTAATATATATAATATATTCTTATTATATGGATAAAATTTTTTAATTCATTTGTGACATAAATAATAGATTTTCGATATTCTGCAAATTTTTATAATTTTTAAAAATAATAATGAAATTTATATTTTAATTTATTTTATATATATATAATAAATTAATAATAAACTTATTGAAAAATATAACAAATTTTATATTGTTAAGTATGTATAATGAAATTTTATATTTATATTTCATAAATGAAGCTAATAAAAAAATAATTTAGAATTTGATTATGTGTCTTCAATCAAATGATTTATTGTGATTTTAAAATAGAAAAGTATTTATTAATTTTTTTTTATATTTATAACTTACATTTTTACGAATGATTTTAGAATGCTAAATATTGTAAAAATTCTGTTTATTATTTAAACTATATATGATATTGATTATTTAACAAATTCTTTTATCATATATTTTGCAAACATCATTTATTAAGTATCAATTATTATTTCTTAAGATTAAATATATAAAATTAATAACGACGAATAATGCCCAAGTTTTTGTTAACAATTTTTCTTTTTTCTTTCTTTTTTAAAAATAAGTTTTCATCGAATATTTTTTATTTTAAATTTAAAATATTCAAATTCCTATTTATAAATAAATTATGAAATTATGAAACAATCAAAAGTATTAACATCCCATTCGCGTGTTTACTTACATTAATATATTTCATGGAACATTCACGCATCGATCATTTAAAAATTAACTAACCAAATTGCCATAAAAATTTTTGAGTTAAATTAATGCACAAAAAGTACAATTTTATTAGGACGAAAAGTAAGCATCAATAAGAAACATTTGTAAATCATATTTTGAACAAGAATACATTTATCTATTGCACCGGTGCTATTAACCAATTTTGAAAGAATGAAGATTATTTGGATAATTGGTGGACCAGGATGTGGAAAAGGAACACAGTGCAAACGAATTATTGAAAAATATGGATTTTATCATATAAGCAGTGGTGATCTATTACGGGAAGAAGTTGCCCATGGTAGTCCTCGAGATGCTTTTCTACAGGAAACAATGTCTAAAGGTTTATTTGTCTCAACGGTAAATTATACTTTATAATTAAAAATAAAAGTAATTTAAGAAGAAATTTATGCATAAATATTTTTCATGTATATCTATGTTTTACATAAAATATTAATGCATATATAATTATATAGATTTCGTTACGCACATTTCGTTGATTTTAATAACGTTGATATATGTTGTCAAGCTTAATTTAGCTTAATAGCTTAATTTCATTTATATGCGGATATAATTTTACTCATGTATAACTTCTTATTTGTACATAATCAAATTTTTAATATATTTTATATAAATGATTTTTTCGTATTTTGCTTAGAAATTTATATAGAGCATAATTATAACATGAAAAAATTAAAAAAAAATTAATCTTTTCAATATTTAAAATGTTTCCAATATTAGATATTTGAATAAATAAATGATAAGATAAATGAATATCTTTTATGATATCAAGAACATAAATATTTCGATATAAGTTATTTTTAGAAAATATATGAAAATAAATTTTAAGAATTATTTCTATTATTTTATTTTACAAATTAAATTATTAATTTTTTAAATTAATATTTTGAATTTTTCAAAACTTATATATATCATTTAATTAATGATATAATTATAATAGTTATGTATATGTATTAATAAATATTTATTGTACATATATTTTTTATATTGAAATATTT